ACTTTGCTCGATAAAACCCAAAAACTTCCAACTTCTTGCCGCGTTTGGTTTGCAAAGTTCGATTTTCTGAAACAACGACTACGTGAAATTGACCTTAGAAAACCAGCGGGTTTCAAAAAATCGTCAAAAAAATCCTGATGAAGGCGTCAATTTCGAAACTTTCCCACTTCATTCCACCGATTTTCCTCTATAAAACGCAGACACGCAGAATTTTCCCTCTCTTCTGGATTGCACTATACAATTTTAGAGAAAGAGGTCTGCATGAAACCGATCTTGCAAACCCAGCGAGGTTTAGAAAATTGGCAAAATTTCCCAGCTAGAGGGACAAATGGGAAACTTTCACCAGTTATAGAACAGACTGTGCTCGATGAAACCCAAAAACTTCCAACTTCTTGCCGCGTTTGGTTTGCACAGTTCGATTTTCTGAAACAACGTTTACGTGAAATTGACCTTAGAAAACTAGCGGGTTTCAAAAAATCGTCAAAAAATTCTTGATGAAGGCGCCCATTTCTTTCAAAAAACGTGTCAAAAATTGCCACATTTGCATAAACAGCCTAGAACGGCGATTTTCGAATTCAGCCGGCACCACCGCAAGCAACGGCCCAACTGCTCTGACGTCACGAGTATGCCAAGCCGGTAAGACACCACAGAACTACACCAGGCCGGCTCTCGCTCACTCTCACGGCGAAATGGCCCCAGTGACGTCAGAGCAGTCGGGCTTGCGACGATGCCGATTCAGCCAAACACGCCCGAATTTCCAGATGCATTTTCGGGAATTTGGTCAAAGAAAAGGACAACGTCAGCCACTTGGCAGCCAACACGATTACCATTCTATTTTTCACGCATTGCCTGTCCAAGTTCATCTACTTTGCCGCCCGCTCCAAGCTGTTCTACAGGTGAAAATGGCAAATTAGCGACTAAAACACCACGCAGAAAACTGCGGGACATTTTCCGTTTTAGAACCCTCGGTATATGGAACCAGGCCAATAGCCACCCCATCTTTTTGGAGTCGAGCAACCGGTACCATGCGTTGGCGTTGAAGAAAATGCGCAGTCTGCTCTACATTATCCTGTTTGGGACGATTTTTTCCGCAAGCGGTGGGTTCTTGCATTGACAGTGCATGGTAAAAGTATACTGGTCCCAACCTATTTGGCAGTGACGTCATTTTTCGAGCCGCCATATTGGTTCGTCTCAAATTGCCCGGTTGCCAGCTTGAGCGTTTGCTCCCGATTCATTTTTGCTGAATCACATTAGCGTCCGCGAGTTGAACTTCTCTTGAACTGTCACAAGCAATAGAAAAAGAACGATCATTATTACGTCACTGCCAAAGAGCTTGGGCCAGACTATACAACGCTTTGCGTCAAATTAAAAAAACAATGACAGAATAAATGTCAACTGGCAAATTGATGTCCCCAGCATGGACTGCCATAACGTTCGTGGGCGAAAGCGTGCATTTCATTAAGGACCCGGACAATGACAATGAAACCATCACTGAAGAAATTCCCCGACTACTGATCAAGTCGTGGTACCCATTTGACGCCATGTCGGGCATGACCTACTACGTCGCTTTGGTCAGTTTTGACAGCTGTCAACCCGCTACCGGGACAGTGGGGGCGTGGCCGCCCTTCGGCCACGCCCCCAAACAGAACAGATTTAACACCCGCTAACTGTTGCAGGTCTTTCAAATATACTACGTGTTTTTTTCGCTGTTTCAAGCCAACCTGTTGGACAACTTGTTCTGTTCGTGGCTGATTTTCGCCTGCGAACAGTTGCAGCACCTGAAGGAGATCATGAAACCGTTGATGGTAAGACGCGATTTGAGGCAACAAAGCACCCGACTGGCAACTGGTTTTTTTTTCTATAGGAACTGTCGGCCACTTTGGACACTTTCGTGCCGAAAAGCGCCGACTTATTCAAATCGCCCGGCAGCGCCACGTCACAAGACCACCTCATCGAAAACGGTAGGTGACGTCTCCAATGTCATTGTCATTGTCACTGTCAACGCAACAAAACACAATTTTCACCGTAGATTTCAATGCGAAAAACGATGACCTGAAGGGCGTCTACAACATCAGACAGGAGCTGGGGAATTTGAATTTCCGCAGCGGGGCGCTGCAGACGTTCGGCCAAGGTGGTGGGGGCGTAGGCCCGAACGGGCTCACGAAAAAACAGGAACTGATGGTCCGATCGGCCATCAAGTACTGGGTGGAGCGTCACAAGCACGTCGTGAGGTAACCCCACATTTTTGCCCCCTCTGACGTGGACGTGACGCTTTATTTCGCCCTCCAGGCTGGTGACCGCCATTGGGGACGCCTATGGAGTGGCCCTCTTGCTGCACATGCTCACAGCCACCGTGATGCTCACGCTGCTCGCCTACGAGGCCACCAAGGTAAAGAAAGGCGCCCCATGGGCAAATTGCCCACTCACCAAATGAGCACATTTCCAGATCGATGGGCTCAATACGTACGCAGCGACCACTTTGGGCTACTTGCTCTACTCACTGGCGCAGGTGTTTCACTTCTGCATTTTCGGCAACAGGCTGATTGAAGAGGTGAGTGAGGCCTCCGTGTATGGGCGCCTTTATCAGGGGAGCGTTGGGTAATTGTCCGCCGAACAAAACGCGACATGAATTTCGAACGGCCGTTTGAATGAGGTGCGATACTTTCAAATTGAGTTCACTACAATTCAATTTGCGCATTTCCATGCTGCCATCGCTTCGGGCGGAAAAATTCATTATTTAGCATTGCGCTGGTAATTGTTTTAATTGGAAACCGGGCACTTCTCTCTAATTAATGCACGGGCCTGCTTTAATTAATGGAAAAAATGTACATTAATGTTTCAACGGTTTCCATAGTGGAGGACTCTTTCGGTATAATTGGCGCATGGAATATGTCCATAAACTCGTTTTTGCTGGCGATGATTTCATGGCGTGTGCTTCACCGATAAACAAATAATTTTCCATCGGCTTTAAACAGGACAAACTAGATTTTTTACAAACTTCTTTTTGGGTATTTCGCCTCAAAAATTTTTGCCTTTAAAAAAGACAGAATTTCCTCACGTCTTTTATTACAGATTGATAAATAGTGAAAACACTATTTATCAATCCAAAAGAAGTTTGTAAAAAATGAATCCGCCTCAACAATATAGAACTTATCTGAAACTAGATTTTATTTGCTGATGAAATGACTTCGATGGATTTTGGAAACTTGGTGCCGATGTTTCGCCAGCAAGCACGGCCTACATCTTCAGACGGGTGTCTCCTCCAAAAGCCCACACTCTGCTTCAAGCAATTTAATTCAAACTCCTCTTGCCACTCAGGAACGTAGTTGGCATCGTTTCTCTCACTCGCACGCATGGGACTCTATGTCCAGTGGCGAAGCCCAATGCCTAGCAACGTTCCAACTTGCCACCTTCGCCGCTTAAAAATTTTCGGTTTCGAGCGTTTCACACAAAGTGCGAACCAATATTTTTTCCCTAAAATCTTTGGCCGGAGGAGGTTTGGCCATAACGTTTTGCTAACCCGAGAAATATGAAAAATAATTGAAATTTTCCAGAATCTTTCAGAATTCTAACATTCTGCTATTGTGTCCAGAGTTCATCGGTGATGGAGGCGGCCTACAGCTGTCATTGGTATGACGGCTCCGAAGAGGCGAAAACCTTCGTCCAGATCGTGTGTCAACAGTGTCAAAAGTCGCTGTTCATATCGGGCGCCAAGTTTTTCACAATTTCCTTGGATCTGTTCGCTTCGGTAAGTCCCGATTGATTGCAAGTGAAATTTGGGAAAAAAATCTGTCATTCTCAGGTTCTCGGCGCCACCGTCACCTACTTCATGGTGCTGGTGCAACTCAAGTAAACGCCCCTAGCTTAGAACCGTACATACAATGCAACAGTGTACATATAGATAGATTTTGTTAATCTACCTAGTTTTAGTGCTGTTGAGCAGATTCGTTTGCTCGATCTGCGCAGTCTCAGTTGCACAAATTCCTTAGCTGTTGTTGAATCCTAGGCTATATGGCAACCCTGTACAAAGTAGTATGGAAATAATGTGAAGATTTATGCCACTGTCAAGAAACAGTGGTTGCTCGGCCTGTTGGCAACCGCAATTGTTTCAGCACATTTCTCTCTAGCGAAGGCTTCACACTAATTGGCAGCAATGACTTTGTGATAGTTGTCACCTATGACTTTGCTATTTGTTTACGTTCAGTGTTGCCAAACGTTGTTTTAAGTCAAACGAATTAGGCATTCTCAGTGTCTTACCAGTACGGGGGCGCAATCAATGAATTTGTTAGAAATTGCGCTCGTTTGCACTCTGTAGCTGACTGTGAGCTAAACATATTGAATAAATCAAATATTTATATAACGTTAAATAAATGCTTTCTTGTTAAAAGCTCATGAATTTTGAGTGAACTCGAACAATCGCAGATGAAGAAGGCCGGGGTGAATGAATTAGCCCAATTTCCCAGGCAAAGCTGCGTCTTGCAAAGGGCAATCGATAATCCATAGGAGGAAACCTGTGGCTCCATCTGACCGCCCCCCCGGGGAACCGCTCATTCAGCCCTTATACAATCACGCAAGCAATATTTTCTAACCTTAGCCCGTTGTTGGGAAAGCGAAAATTCGGAAATTCGCGTTGTTAGACGTTCGCACAAATCGTGCCGTTGTTGTTGATCGGTTCTTTTGCCGTTTTTACACGGGGTTTCAGTGATTCGAAGCCGCCCTCTACTCTCGCACAATAAATTTACCTCGACTGGAACAGTTCACTAATTTACCGTTTGCTCAACAGTTGACGACTGGTACCAGCTGCATCAACGGCTGTGTCGTCGGCCTATTGTGATTTTCTACGCATTTTTATTCGCGTTTGTGGCGCACCGGACCAGCTAAAGGTGAGCATGGAACTGAACATTAAATATTTTAACTTCAACATCCCACCGACGTTGCTCAGGAAGGTGGTTGGTTGCCTAGTTAAGTCGGTAAAGTCCCTTATGTTTAATCGCATTGGGGATTTAATTGGACTTTTTTGACCACACCTGTCAAAAAAAGACGATGAAATTGATCAAAAATCCAATCTCGGGAGACTTTAATACAGAACTTCTCGGTTGATAAATGAAGCGATTTTTCCCATTCGAGTGCTCCATTAAAGCAGTCCCGGATATTTACGTTCCCCCCATCATCTATCAGGGTTGTTTTTCTTTGTTGGCAATAACGAAAAACGGGCGGCCATTTTTCTCTTATTGCCCGACGAATCGGAGAAGCGAACCAGACAAAACCGTTGTAAGCAATCTGGTCTAATCCCGAGCGATAACAATGGATTTCATCCAGTTTCTGGAATATGCACTAAGTAGGCTTCTAACCGGATCGGTAAATGCGCTTACCCGAAACACTGGGAGATAAACATCAATGCAGGCGGCGAGGCTTAATTAAATGGCTTTATGGACCGTAAATTAGGTAAACTAATTCGGGCATGCGATCAATACGTGTTGGGGTGCGTGCTGCCTCTATCCAGACCAGAAAAAACTTTGGATGTGCCAGAATTGAGCGCATAAATGTACACCTTCGGTAAGACAGCCGTCATCCAATCAGCCTCCGTCCTCGTTTACATTTCCAGACCAAATCCAGCGGAATTGATTAAATTCCAATAACATATCGGGGCGCCTTTCCAAACACGAACTCCCTCCGTCCGGGCGTGATTAAGCCGGTTTAACTCGTCATTAGGCCTCGATCGCCTCAGTTCGATAGCGGGAAACTTCCGCCGCCCGTCTATCGCTACCTCAAACCTCAGCGGGGACGAAACGTACACAAACCTCGGAAAATCAGGCTTGATTGTATTTGCTCGCCAAACATGGGGATTCGTAATGGAACTCCCTGAAATATGGAAAAAACGCCAAAGTTCCAACAGTGTTTGACTGCCGATGGCCCGGCAAACAACGAAAGAAAACTTTTAATTTGGGCGCCAAAAGTTCAGCGCAAAGTTCCGACTTTTTTTTCGACGAGCAAAGTTTCCTCCATTTATGGAAATGCTGTTCGTAATTGCACCGTTAAGAAAACCGGATGAATATTTCATCGTTTTACTTCAAATTTTCGCTATTATAAGAAAGATTTTATATAAGAAATTTTGCGATGTTTACCCAAAAAAAAATCAGGATGTGAAACAAGATGAGGTTTTGATTCCGCGACTATACCGTTGGAGTCAACCAGTATAGTCGAGGAATGTGTCCTAGGAAAATTTTGCAATTTTTAGCAGAGTTCCATCGCCAAATCAATGGCAAAACCCCAAATTTCAAATATATGCAAAACTTTAACGGATACAACTATTTCTTTAATACCCAGCGCTAAAATAGTGCTTAGTTTACTCTCCCAGTTTTCCAGGTTTTTCACTCCCCGACTATACTCGTTTAAACGATCAGTATAGTCGCGGTGCGACAACCAAACGACAGGAAATTTTCATTTGATGTATGCTACTAAAAATTCAATTGGTTGCTTGTTGGTAAATTTTTGAAAAATTCGTCTGCTAATCGACAATAGATTCGCGATAGCTTTTGCTACTTTGCGTCCTGGACCGAAATAGTTCGGGCTTTGAAAACTATCCGCTTTCAGGAACAGTCGTTTTCTGTTGCCTTTTCTTATTTATTTTCAAATGTGTGTTTGAATAAGGTGTTAAATGAAATTGAAGTTTTCCTGTTGATTGGTTTTCGCACAGCATCATGCCTCGACTATACTGATCGTTTACACAAGTATAGTCGAGGAGTCAAATCTGAAAAACTTTCAGAGTGTAAACTAAGCAATATTTTAGCGCTCGTTCTCTAATGCGATCGTTGGATGAAACGAAGCAACCAATCGATCACTTGGATGGAAATTAAGCTTCAGTCGACAAATGGCCTAAACATCTGCATAGTTGCCAGTAGTTTCTAATAATTGACACTGTTCGCTGTCAAGCTTGGCTGATTCGGGTTGATGGGAAGGAAAACTACCTACGCAAAGCGCGAAAATGGAAAAACACCCATGAAATATTGAAAATGTACCCCATGATGTGGGTATTCGCTTCCAGCTAAAACAACTCAATTAACCCTAAACTTTCCACCTCCATCACTGACTTCTAACCAAGATGAGGCAATCCATAACGCAAACCCGCGATTTTCCGCATCAACCAGAGCACGTTAAGTCCTGTTTAAACGAGTTGTAAATGTTCGTTTTATAATGCCCAGTTTGAAGAGCCACTAGAATGGAATTTGAGGCGAAATCCGCCGTTCGGTTCGACAAAATTGGAAAACTTTCCGCGGAATTCCATCCATATCGATGCAGGTCGGGGAATTCGTAATTGTTTAAAGTTTCCAACAGCATTAAGACAAAGCTCGTCTGCGTTTCATGGAGCGAAAAAACAACCCGGCGCGGTAATAAAGATGTGGAAAATGGCAAAGGCGCACACGCAAGTTTACACGAACTTTGTTTCCAGTCGGGAAAGTGGAAACTCGAACGTCAGTAATCCGGGCGCTTTTCGACAGTGAACTTGGCTTGCCGGAGTTCTTGCGCTTTACACACGTGCTTGCCGCGTATCGCAAGTTTTCCATATCACAAATTCAATTCTATTGCAGAAGTAAGAAGCCAAAAAACATTTTTTGGAGAGAGAACAATTCCTGGAACTTAAATTAATTCTCTACTTGATATTTCTTTGGTCTGAAATCAGTTTTTTTGAGCCGCAGATTTCCGGTTCCTTTACTAAGGACTGTCGATCGCGACGTATTCAGCTTGTGCATTCCTCTGGAAAAACAACGAATTTGACGGCTTTGAAAATCCATAATTCGTTCCCATAAATCTAGGCCTGGATTAAAATCGACAGAACAAAACGACCACTAATAGCGCGGAAGCGGTGAATACTCGACTCTGGCCACATCATTATCGATTCACAAATGAGTTTTTTTACATCCAAATCAAATTCATTCCTGGCTTTCAGTCATTTATTGTCTCTATTTATCAATCAAAATACGTTTCGGTGTATTTTTCCACCATCATCAGTTTTTATGTGTAGCGTTGTTGCTGCTT